ATGCGAACGAAACAAGAGTTGAATACTGCCCTTAAACGGGAATATCTTTGGCCCCTAAAATTATAAGGATTTATATTCTAAAGTACCTATGAAACAAAAAGTACCTATCCATTGGTAGTTTTTCCTTACTGAAGAATTCTTTGAGATATTACAGAATCGCAGTCCCTGCTATATATTTCATTGGAAAAAGCGGTCCATGAAATGAAACGATGACCGCTGCAACATTTTACAAATATATTGCAAATATTTCTACCCATGGCTAATTAAAAATGCTATCAAATTCCCTATTTTGCTTCTTCTGGATAGGTATAAATCTCATATCAGTTTGAAACTGAGCAAGTTTTGTTCATCAAAACAATAATTTTCTGGTTTAGTTTTCTACCTAATTCATGGAAATCTCCCGTTAGATCTTGAAAACAAAAGAATTGTAAAACAATATGTCGAGAAAATTCTACATCCATTTTTAAATAAGATTTTGACGCATCAACTGATGAAGTTAAAATGCTTTTATGAAATGTGATATTTTTCTATTCGATGTAGAAAACGTTGACTTTAACAAATGCATGCAAAACAGGCACCAAGAGTTAATGGACAAGACAGCTTATCAACAAAATACATGCTTCGAGAGTAACGATTCACTATTTCTTCAGAAGCTTGAGAAGGAAATCTCACAAGTTATGTTGCAAATTTTTAAAGGAACATTGACAGAAAAGTTTAATCTCCCAAATATGCAATAGGGTGTGCTTTTCTCAATATGGAAGAATTTATTTCAAAAAGTTAGTTAATTAAATTTTGGCACTGAAGCTGATACAACTAACATTGATAATAAAAGTATCTTGAAAACTGATTTTGAGATAATTCCTCTTGAGGCATTGTTAGTTGCTGAAACAATTGGTTCTATAAGTAAATGGTAAGTACTGCTGAAGACCCACTAAGATATAAGTCAATGAGAGATGGATTTTACTCAAACTTCGAAACTCCTTTTTCTCATTTATTATCCAGTGAGGAATTCTAGAAATGGTACTGGGAAATCAAAAGAAATTTCGAAGACACATTTACATTGGTCAAAGATTTGGAAGAAAGAGGAAGGTTAAATCAAAAGAAAAAGAAATCAATTACTTTTTTGCATTAACTTCATAAAAAGAACGAAAATTTAAAGAGCTGAAAAAAAAGTTAAAGCAGAAAGTATGATGAAGAGAAAAAAATACCTAAGAAAATAAAAAAAGCTTAAAAAAATATGGGGAAAAGAGTAAACAAAAAAATGTTCGAATTATAATAATAATAAAAACATCATCGGATTACACAATGATAAACATTCATAATTTAGAACATACTATTGAACTGTGAGAAGAAAAAAATGAAAAAAAATTTTTTTAAAATTATGTATTCAAACATATTTTACTTTCCATTCCAAGGCTGAAAAAAAAAGTAACATTTTCCACGTTAACTGTGGTTATATGCTGTAATTCCAAGAAAAATCTTGTTTTTAGACATTTGTGTGGTCTATAGATTCCTAACGAGCATCATACATTCTCAAAATTAAGTGTTCATTCACTGGAAAATTTAGTGTTTATTCACTGGTAAGAACTGTTCCTTCACTTGGTTATCTTACTACTTATTATTTAAACCACCAAAAGCTTAAAACAATATTATGTAAGTTATCTAATTTTTTTTT